CACATGGTTATAAACCATGAGTGCTCTGCCACCAGTACGGACAGCTGATAAGAAACGGTCCGCCTGTGTCGCCGTCTGTACGTAACTCCGCAGCTACAGCGACGTTCCTCCATTCACCCTAGAGTGTCAGCTCTGGTACCCATATCCTAGAACACCGACCGTGGCTGCAGCGAGTCGCAGCCAAATATGTGCAGTAGCCAGATTTCACTGCAAGCTCGGGTCGAAAATGAAAGAGAAAAAAACTTTGAAAAGTGAAAAATACATGCATATTAGTTTTAATTCTACAAAACGATCAATATAAACTTAAATACGTGAGTTACTCTAGTAATCTGCCATCCCATTCTGTGTCTTTAACTGCGCGGCCATGTTCGCCATCCACCGCAATTTTTTAAGACCATGATTGAAAACTGGCGATTAAACGACTGACAGTTAACCAAAGTTTTACTGTATTGAAAATTAAACCAAAGGAGCCTTTTCCAAACCTTCAAACGTGTTATGCATGTAGTTCTTTACAAATATTGCATAGACCAACCGGTGCTGGGTGAGTGTTCCGCTGAGCATGTGTTTAATCATATCATTTTAAAAATAACTGAAATGTATTAGTTTTTCATGCCACTTAGGACATTTTTTCAAAGGAATAATCCAATTGTTTCTAATTTTACTACTACTACTGCTACTGCTACTGCTGCTGCTGCTGCTGCTGCTGCTACTACTACTACTACTACTAGTGCTACTACTGCTGTTGTTACTACTACTACTACTACTACTACTACTACTACTACTACTACTACTACTACTACTACTACTACTACTACTACTGCAAATACTACTACTGCTACTACTGCTGCTGCTGCTATTACTACTGCTGCTGCTGTTGCTGCTGCTGCTACTACTACTACTACTACTACTACTACTACTACTACTACTGCTACTACTACTACTACTACTACTACTACTGCTGCTGCTGCTGCTGTTGCTGCTGCTACTACTACTACTTGTATTGATTATAATTACGATTATTAGTTACCTAAGGCGTGTGTGTATATGAGCTCCCTGCAGTCCCTTCCCTCCCCCTCTCCCAAATGCTAAAGGCCTCAGAAATGTTTTCCTTGTGTTCGTACCGGCGTCCCGATGTGCACACGGATCGTGTTTGTCTGCACAGAGGATGCCATAAACGAGACTGCTGTTATTACATGCCCAATGATTTAATTGTTTGGTATGTGCCTATTTCAGGTCAGAAACTGCTACCAGGGATGTATGGCTGCCCTCGATGTGTACTACCAAGGCATTAAAAGTAGGTGACATGTGATTTTGTTTCTTCTTACAAAGTCTCTCAATCCTGTCCCGAAAGTTGAGGCTAGTGAGTTGAGTTAGTCGGTAGATAATCCTCATTGCACCTGAGACATAAGGATCCCTTCATCAGTATATCCCCCCAGCGTGATAATACTGATAACACCTGTCCTACGTTGGTTTACGATTCTTCTTTGGCTACCTGCATAGTATTTATATCTGGTGACACCTCTTTTGACTTGAAGTTCTTGAAGTCTTTTGAGTGTTGCCGACTCACCGTTGATTCCTGAATCATCTTCTCGTCCTGCCTCCATGTGACCCTGCCAGCAAGCCAGACCGCTCGTTCATTCCCTCTGACCCCAAAGTCCCAGGGGACACAAAAATGAAACTGCTATCCAACACGATTTCATCAGCGAACCCAACAATTTTCTTCATATCTATCATCTCTTGATGCAAATGGAATTAATTAGAAGTTACGCATTGGAAAAATTATGGGTTTCTAGCCACATCATTGCTTTTGTTACCGCTATCACCTTCATAGTCAGACTACTTGAATCGAGATAAAAGCCATACTTGTTTCTTTTACAGACTTCCCTCGAACCAGAAACGCGAAAACCCGTCAGCTTTGTATGTGTCGAACGACCGATCCGTCGATGTAAACCACTGCATCTTCATCAGCAGATATTTTCAAAATCAAGTTTAAACTTCAGCCCCAATCACCAATGGGCCTTGTTGTCTGCATTCTCTAACCAGTATTATGCAGACTGAAAGGGATGTACACTGCTCTGTTTACACTGGTAACCATTCCTCGGCAGGTTCGAGTGTGGTTTAGCCATGTTAAACGTCGTAGTGACCTAGATAGAACGGTGATGGAAAGCGTAATTTTAGACTCCGCTATCTGGCTACAGTCGGCTCTGTGGCTAAGTCGATGTGAACGTGTCGTAATGCCGGGTTGCCGGGTTCGATCCCAGCTGCAGGCCATGCGCCTTGCGTTGGTTTCGACAGTGGTATGAAGAAAGCCGACCCTCCAGAAAGCAATGACAAACTACTGGACGTATATTTGCCTAGAAAAACCACACAACAGCCAGGCCCTGTTGGGGTTGGTTCTGCAACGTCCTGTAAAGAATACGCAACCAACCTTTATCTGGCTACAAGACATTAAAGATGCATTGGTTATGATATAACACAGGCTTGGAGAATTGGCTAGAGAAAGAAAGACTTTCAAGCAAGCCTTGAGTTAGCGATGTTCTTAAACATTCTCCTGATTGAGAATGAGATACTAGTTTAAGGGCACGAATCAACATTATAATTTCGGCACAATTTAGCAGACAGTGTCCCATCCTTGACTTACATTTATTGTTAGTTTGTTTTCTGATGCCATCATATCGCTATGTTAACTTAACTTCTTCATACCGGTTGCCGGCTGTGATCCTACTGAAGGTTCTGATTGTTCGTCCTATTCTGGAATTTTATCTTGTTACAGAACCTGAGTTTTGCATTCAGATCCCTTATTATTATCTGGCTTTTGTATGCAGACTTTCGGTTCCTTGTCTCTAAGGCAGATGCACTTCATCTTCGAAGAAAATACCCCATAATCAGTCGCCTTTTACAACATGCTTGTTTAGGTTAAGAAAGCCGACCGTCCAGAAGCAATGGCAAACTACTGGACGTAAATTTGCCTAGAGAAACCACACAACAGCCAGGGGCTGTTAGGTTTGGTTCTGCAACGTCCTCTAGAGGATACGCAATAACCTTTGTTTAGGTTCAGTGCTTCTGTCCGTCTCCCCACCCCTCCCGTTCTCCCCCACTGGGGCCCAGGAACCCACACGGGGAGCCTAGAATTAATATTTCTCATCTTGGTTCTGAAGATTCGAAAATGCTGTGCGATACAACCCATCATAAATGCAACGGCAAGACCACAGAATCATATCTTTATGATTGTTTTCTATCACAGACAGTTGTTTCGTTAACTCCTGCTATCCTGTTTGTTACATTAGTTTCCTCTATCCCAAAATATTATTACAGAGCTGCCGTGGTGTAGCGGCTAGATGCTCGCCTGCGGATGCAAAGGTCGTGTGGGCAGGTCTTGAGGGAGCCTAAATTTTTCGACACCTCTTAAATGGGTACCAGGTAAAGTACTGGGAAGTAAAGGTGTGATTTAGACCACATCACCCACCGTATGGCCTATAAAGTTTAGGTCTAGCCCTATATGCCCAATACGTTTGAAGACGTTAAAAAAGGGTGCTTTACTTTTATTTTCATCGTGTTATTGTTTCCTCTTCTTACTCATCTTCTGTTTGCTTTTGAACTAGAATTCTTAAGATCGAAAGAGTTAAAGAAACTCTTTCCTGGTATTGAATGAGTTAAACACAGTCACATACAGCATATAATCCTCCTTTACAGAGAAACTGCGAACTGTACCGGCACCCACACTACACAGCCTGGGCCATTCTTCGCTGACTTTATCATGGAACGGATATGTGCCGCAGAACGTCACCTACAAGGCACAGAAGCTAGTTTTGGATTCCAACTCCGGCTGGGAGCTTCATGGCGAGGCGACTTTCAGACCGAATGGGAACATCGACCTGTTCAATCTACGTCCTTACGTTGCCTACAAGGTTGTGTGTTTTTACTATTGTGTTAATGGGTCTAAATATGATGTTAAGAGTCATTGAATTGGTTTATAGTTATAAAAATGTTAGTTTCTTTGTTTACCGAGGTTCTATGAAATCGGGTTTGCTACAATCTTCGTGTTGGCCACATTTTTGCATTATTATGGCTTAAGGGAGTGCTTGTGTGCTTTATATGCCATGATTTACTATTTTACTACAACTGCTAGAGGAAACGCTGAGGTGGCACGGCTAGACGCTCATCTGTGGATCCGAAGGTAGAGGGGTTCGGGTCCCGACGGAGCCAGACGTTGAAAAAAAAAGGACCCAGCCCTGAGTGGATACCGGAGGCAGTCATGGGAAGTGAAGGCGGCCAGTGTGATACAGACCACATCACCTATCAAGTGCCGATTAGTCTATAAAGTATAGGTCTAGGCATATACACCCAATAGTCTGAAGGAGTGGAAATCTGTACTTTTACAACAACTACTACTGCTGCTACTGCTGCTGCTGCTGCTGCTGCTGCTAATACTACTACTACTACTGCCGCTACTGCTACTAATGCTGTGACTGCTGACAGTTTCTACTGTTGTTGCTGGTGCTCCTTACTACTAATACTGCTACTAATATTACTAACACCACGACCACCACAGCAACTATTATTACAACTGCTCATGTTACTACTGTTATTATTGCCATCGATGCAGCTACTACTACTATTACTACTACTACTGATACTACTACTACTACTACTACTACTACTACTACTACTACTACTATACTACTACTACTACTACTACTACTACTACTACTACTACTACTACTACTACTACTAACTACTACTAATTTTACTACTGCTACTACCTCTACTACTAAAACTACTGCTACTATTTGTACCCAAGGACTATCATATTTATCAACAAGTGCCTCGCTAGACTTCGTCGGGTGCCCTTGTCTCTCCACAGATCTTGGTCCTTTCTATTGATAATTTGTTCTCTTGAGCTGACTGTCTGCTTTAATAATCTTGTTCGATCGTCCTGTCTTACAGCTGACATCTGTCCCATGCCACTTTATCCGACTGATCGTGCCGGTCAGCTGACATCTGTCCATACCACTTTCTCTCATCGTCCTGTCCCGACATCGTCAGCATCATTTCTCGTATGTTATCGTCCTGTCTTTCAGCTGACATCTGTCCATGCCACTTTCAGCCATACTCACTGTCTTACAGCTCAGCAATCATTTTCTCGATCTACATCCCTGTCTTACACAGCTGACATCTGTCCATACCACTTTCAGGATCTCATCTCGATCTCCTAATGCTGTCCATTGCCACATATTCAATCGTTGTTTTCACTGTACCACTTTCAGCACGTCTCATGTCTCTATCGTCCTGTATAGCTGTGGTGACCCTTTCACGTGTCTGTCCCTAGACTCCTAATGATGAAATAGTTGTTTTCACTGTCCAGTTACGTCCATATCCTATAGGCGGTGATTTACGTTTCTGCTAGACCTTGCTAAATAAGACACCCTTTTTATGTGTGTCCAGGTAAATATTAATCGAAACACACATCCTGCTGCACTGAGGTGCAATCATCATCTGAAAAGGACAGGTTCGATCCCTGGCGTGGTAACTTGAGCTTTCAAATTGTATATAGGGACATCTCGTCTCTACTTCTTTAGTTTGTATCTATGAAAACAAGTCAGCATACTGCAACTTGTTTATCCCATTTTGATTTAATGATAGTTTACTTAAATCTGTGTAATAATCCTATATTTATCCTAGCGAGAAGTGATTTTTTCTTGTTGCAGTTTAGAATACTGATCGTAGTGACGTCAGGTGCAGGCCACGTGATAGGGTCACAGCCATCTGGAAAAATAACAACTCGTGCGCATGGAGGTAAGGACTTAATATACAAACCAAATGTCGTTTGTCGTAATTTCTGTAGCAGTATCTCCTCCTTCTCATCCTCCTCCTCCTCCTCTGCCTCCTTATCCGTTTTTGTTTTCGTTTTTTTTTTCTGCCCCCATCTTCCTAGCTGTCTGCCCTCCTCCTCTCTATCTCTCTCTCTCTTTCTCTCTCTCTCTCTCTCTCTCTCTCTCTCTCTCTCTCTCTCTCTCTTCTTCTTCTTCTTCTTCTTCTGTGGATTTCTGTTGTTATATTTCATTGTACAGTCTCCTGAGTCAAACGCACTATTCAGTAGATACTAATTGTCCTGGGAAGTAAAGACGGCAAGCATTATGGCAACCACATTTCCCCTCAGTGTCAACGGGTCTGTACTAATTGAATCTCTAATTTGCTATTTAGGCTGTTGTTGTTTTAACATTTGTTTCTTTTGTAATGCAATAGTTTAGCCAGACTGGATCGGTATTTGCCATGTATAAAACAGTCCCTCGCTAAAACTACCAGAAGACGAGACGCTGAAAAGAACTATTTCGGTGCAGCCCACCAAGGCGGTGGCCTAAATTATTTTCTTTATTGGAATTTGGCAAAGCGAAACAATTTGCTCTTCCCATTTGATGGAGTCCCGCGAGACGAAAACATCTTAGCCAAGGATCGTTTCACAGGCGCAGTTTCGCAAAATGTGCTCCCTCGGTTTAAGGCAGGGTTCTCAGTCTGTGGGTTGTGACCCCTTTTGGGTCCCTAATTAGTCAGCGTTGCCATATGCTTTTCAAGGCGCAATAGGTTTACCCTCCCCCTCCCCCTTTTCCTACAACCGGGACCACAAAATAGACCCAGAATCCACATATGATGTAGGATGAATTTGTTCCCATCTTCTACATTTTCCCAGAGCTCTATTGATCTGTTTATAAGTGATCCGGCCCACACAAGACACTTCCAAGCGCAAAGCTCCCAAATATTTCTCTTTCAAGTAGGCGTTATTGAAAACATTGACACAAATATGACAGCTCCTTCTCTTGTAGGAGCATCCCGATTCTCTTTATTTTATTTTTGCGAATGCACGGTGTGCAATTCGCTCGGTGTACATGTATGTTAGTATTATGTCCTTCGTTCCTCTATTTTTCCTCCTCCTCCTCCTCCTAAAACAAAAGCAGAAAAGAAAATTTGAAAAGAGGGATTTACAGAGTCACATGGAACAGAATAAATAAAATATATACTGAGAATGTATAGTAAAGAAAAAAAGTGTAAAGTTTGTGTAGCATAGCACAGACACCGGGAACTTGGCCAGATGAGTTACCCTCTCCAATAACCTCTAAACTGGGTCTTAACGGCCACTTTAGGCATGTATACACATTCTTTTTTAAAGTGTTCGTTAATACATAAGGTATATCAAGTATCTTTTCACAGGGTTTTTTTTTTTTTAATCACCCTGGACTACTACTAAAGTACTTTTGAATTAGGGTCAGGCTTCTTGAGTTCTCACCTAATTGTCACATACATGTTTAGGGCGGGGGATGTGAAGGCCGGGTGGGGGTTGATGGTGGCTCACAACTCACCCCCACCCCCTTCGCCCCACACCCCTACATCCTTTCCTTGTGTGTGTATGTGTGTGTGGCTCTTCTCTTTGCGTCGGCGGTCCCGTTGAGAAAATAAACAAGTTAACAGAATAACAAGTGAGTTATTAACTACAGTTTGGAGCATTGAATGTTAATGAAAGTAGCAAACAGACCCTACTAACTAATATACGCGTGGTGCGTCGCTTCGTATCGAAAGTTTTAAGGTTGATCTTGTTGCTGCTGCTACGGTTTGTGCAGCTATGTTTGGAGGTTTCCGAAGCAGAGACCACTACCAGTAACATATTTGTTGAGGGTTCTGCAGTGGATGCGGAAGCATCACTGCCACGAAGTAATTAATCCATTTCGATTTATTGTCTCGGATGTTTCTCTCTCTCTCTCTCTCTCTCTCTCTCTCACCTCTCTCACTCTCCTCTCTCTCCCTCTCTCTGCTCTCCTCCTCTCCTCGAGAAGAAGAAGAAGAAGAAGAAGAAGAAGAAGAAGGAAGAAAGAAGAAGAAGAAGTCGAAGAGAAGAAGGAGAAGAAGAAGAAGAAGAAGAAGAAGAAGAAGAAGAAGAAGCAAGAAGAAGAAGACGAAAGAAGAGAAGAAGAAGAAGAAAAGAAGAGAAGAAGAAGAAGAAGAAGAAGAAGAAGGAAGAAAAGAAGGAAGAAGAAGAAGAAGAGAAGAAAAGAAGAAGAAGAAGAAGAAGAAGAAGAAGAAGAAGAAGGAGAAGAAGAAGAAGACAACGACGACGAAGAAGAAGACGAAGAAGAAGACGAAGAAGACAACGAACGGGGGGAAAGAGGAAGAAGGACGAAGGTAGAGTAAGAAGAAGAGGAAACAGATGAAGAAGAAAAAAGGAGGAGGAGAGAATAGGAGATAGACGGATATAATGTTAAAGTTACAAGTGACTGCCATCACAAGAGTTATCAGCAATCGACTTCAATGGGCACTTATGCCCTGTCTACCAGACCCTGACCTGTGTGACTGAACACAAATAAATAATTCACGTGCCGCTGACCTGGGTGCTTAACGCGGGAAACCTACGACTATCGTCTGCTCCTGATCATCGATCTTACATCTCCCTCCATTTATGTAATGGTCGTTTCCTAGGGCAACTTCCTTCTGGCTTTAATGAGATGGGGTGAGGGCTGATTGAAGAATGGCTGTATAAGTTCAGGGGCGCTAGCGACTGGGAGCCCAGGCAAGGTCAGGTGGTACCCGGTGCCGAAAAACTCCTGTCACCTACCACCACCCCACCCCCTCCCTAGTAAACATACACACACATACAAACACTGACTCACATATAAAACATATACACACACATACAAACACTGACTCACAATCATCATGTTAAAAACGAATATTTTTTACCATGGTATTCTGTACCTGACCCCCCCCCCCCCCCCCCCCCCCCCCCCACTCCCGTCACCCCTAGTGGTGACGTTGTTGAATGAATTTTTAGTTTGAAATAAATAAATGGGCTATTAGAAAATATTTTTCTTCAACATGATAATTCATTCAATAACAGATGTTGCAAATTGATTAAACTGTAGTTCAATTTGTGTATAAATCTACTCAATAACAGTTGCTATCACCGACCGGCCACACCAGCCTCACAAAAATGGGAATTCCCTTTGAGTTGTTCTTCCTTATATCTGGAGCTGGCCGTGATACAGACAGACAGACAGACAGACAGACAGACAGACAGACAGACAGGCAGGCAGGCAGGCAGGCAGGCAGACTTACATGCATACATACTTACTTACATGCATGCATGCATGCGTGCAGGCATGCACACTCACACACACACACACATATATGTATATATATATATATATATATATATATATATATATAAACGCTAGCCTTTTTCGAATAAATATATATATATATATATATATAAAAGCTAGCCGCTTTCGACGTTAAAAAGTCAGACGGGGTTAAAGAAGCATTAGAAGACAAAATGTCATATAGTTAAAGCCATAATCTGGCTACCGATGTGTGATTAAAGTGTATTAACCATTTTCTAACGATGTTCGTGAAAATGAAACCAGATGATTTCCCCTATGGGGTGGACTTGGGTTTTTCCAGCTTGCCTACGTTTGTACGGGAATCCTGACTAATAAAGGTATCAAAGGTTACATTCGTAGTGAATGGACAAGCAGCACGGTGTCTGATGAATACGGTGTATGATTAGAAAGTGACTAGGGTATATTTAGTGTTCAATAAGGTTGAAACATCTGATTGATGTTGTTTTTTTGTTTCCGCAGAATTCAATCCAAGACTGAGTATTAACTTTTAAAGTTCGTTGGTAGGGTGGGCCTTTCCCTATAACGGATTTGGGTAGAGTTGGAATTTGCTTTGAAGCTTTTCTTGCTATCCAGTATTAAAGTATGTAGTTTCATATATATATATATAGTAAAGTAAATGACCCTTTTCCACCCTATCAGGCGTATTAGATATATAGGGCAAGGCCTATAGTTTATAGATCTAACGGCAGTTAGTGGGTGATGTCAGCGTCAAACTGACCACCTTAACTTCCCAGGACTGTATCCGGTACCCACTCAATGCTGGGTCGACCTGGGACCAAGGTCATTTTTGAAAAAAGTCCGGTCCCTGTCAGGACCCGAACATACGACCGTCC